TGAATATGTCATTTTTTCATGTGTTATAAACTTAAAACTAAATTCATCGGCAGATGATATTTAAAGATAGGGTGGGAAGGTAATTAGCATTATATGAGGTCATGAAGGTAGCACCCCTATCCCACCAGGATGGCATTGGTGGCCTTATAACATTGGTGGTGAACCTTTTAGGGCTTCCAACAATAACGGATAGGTAGCTGCAGCACGCATGCCGTAGTTTTGCCACCACTGTCTCGTAAGAAGAGGAAGAGTGACCTAAGCTAACTTGCTGGCTCAGTCTGACTATGGGATGCCCTTTGTCATGTTTGAAGGAGGAAGAAGGGCTTCATCAGATGTTGAGCAGATGCTGGTGCCACAGGATTGGACTTCTCAGCCTCTAGAAGCATGAGCTAGATAAATCTCTATGATTCATAAATTTGTTTATATTCATCTCAGGTATTTTGTTAGAGGAACAGAAAACAGACCAAGACATTATACTTTTTCAAAGGACCTGAGGAGTTCTGATACAAACAGAGTAGTGTGTGAAGGGAAGGGAGGCACAGTGATGAAGGTCCAACACACAACCAAGGCATTAGGGACAATCTACCTGGGTCACAGCTCTTCCTGTGGAAGACACATTACACACATTACTTGTAAATGCTTTTAGGATCCATTTCCATGTAATACTTCAAACCCCAAATTAACTCCATAGTCAGATGTAGGGGGGGGGAAAGCATTTACATGCTTTCAGAAGATTCTAGGAAGCTTCATTTTCACTAAACCCAAACCATGTATTACATAAAACATTAAAAGAGTCAAATAAAGAACTATCTTCTAAACACAGGCTCCAATTATTATTTTCTCAGTATGTACGTTCAGTAGAGGATAGCAGATAGATGGATTTACAGATACATACCCACGTAGATAGATAAATAGAATGCAGATAGATGAATAGACAGATAAGCACTTGTAAAAATTCTAATCACGTTTAGATTTAAATAAATTCTCCCTTATGCCCTTGACCATATTCTATTTAGTAACCCCTACCAGCACCCATGACCGTACTATTTAGTTGGGCTGGAGATAAGTTGCATGGTGCATGTGGACCTGCCTGCTTCTTCTTTGAACAAAATCACAGAACATACCATCATACCTCACCTTCTCTCCCACGCCACCTTCTCTCAAATTTGGAATTAGGGACATTAGAAACTAGGGCAGTCTCAGCCAGCTGTTTGAACTACTGAACTAGTGATGTTAAGTTCTTAGAGAGGAGCACCAAGAACCTGAAGAAACAAATCTACAGAAAGAGGTCTGAAACTGACTAAGAGAGAAAAGATACAAAAACACAGCTGCAGAGTTGGAGAATTTGTGACAGTAGCTTCCCTACTTTTCATGATTTTCCAGTCCCTCACTAGGGTTGCTTTCCTGTCTGTCTTGGAGTCCACAACATACCCATGTTTCTTTGTTTTCATCTTTACTCCAAATTATCTTAGCTGGGTTTCTGTTTGCATTCATCCAAAAGTCTCTGATGGAAGCAAGGAGGAAGAATGGGTTACCTTGGTTGACATGTGGATGTTAGCTCCCTTGTCTAGCAGCAAGGTGACCATGTCCGTGTGCCCCTCCTGTGAGGCCAGGTGAAGTGGAGTCACACCTTGCTTTGTCACAATGTTCGTCTCAGCTCCATAGTTGAGGAGAGTGGAAGCAATCTGCATTTGGTTCTTCTTGGCAGCAATATGTAAAGGAGTGTAACCATTCTAAAAAGAAGCAAAGACTTATTTATAAGCAAAAAGAAAAGTTAGTAAGTTCCTAATAGGTTTCTCTAAAGGAAATATGAATGTGCAATAAACAAAAAAGGTAAAAGCAAGTTGACAGCTAATCTGAACTCTAACCTGTCCCCAAGTTTCTGTCCAACCACACCTAAGCTTCCATTCTTCTGCAAGAGACCTACTGGCACAAAATCTCCTTATATTATTTGTTCTCTCCTGAAGATAACTGGGCAGGTTCCTTTTCTATATAAGTATCTTTAAGTACTGGCTATTGACTTCATCTTTCTTTCTTTAGTCATTTCTTTTGCAAGGTACTCTCCCTGTTCCACCCTCTATTCCCTTTGGAAGCAGTATCTCTAGACCCTTTCCACTGGGGATGACCTGATCTGACTGGACTAGAACTTGGCATTATTGCTCTTGAATTGTGGTACTGGACCTAAATACTAAACTTCAGAAACAGTTTGAATCACACAAAATAAAATTGTAACACTGTACAATCTTTTTGGATTGGACTGCACTTTTCAGTCAGTCAGCAAATATTGTGTTAGTTGCCAGGCAGTGCATCAGGTGAAGGGACACAAAGATGAGCCTAACATTACCTAGTCTTTTTTTTTTCCTGCAGAACCAGCGATTGAATTCAGGTCCTTGTGCTTGCCAGAGAAGTGCGCATTCCACTGAGCCATCTCCCCAGCCCCTCCATTATCTAGTCTTTAGAGAGTTGGATACACGGAAAAGATATTACAGTGCAAAATAGCTTCATATGAATCCTGAAGTCGATTTAAATCTGGACTCTCTCCTTAGCCAAAGTGGAAAAGTGTAACTACTGGCTTTACATGGGAGTTAAGCCAGTGGACCAAAATACCTCATCCTTCCCTTACAAGATCTAACATAAACCCCATACTTAGTTAAAAACAGACCAGTAAACAATCAAACATACTGGGACAAGTGTCAGGCTAGACTAAATATTGTCTTCTTTTTTCAAAGCTGGTAGAATACTACATGAAAAAAAAATGCATGAGAGAAATTAAAAACAGCAGGTTACCATTGATATGACACACAGATGATGGGAGAGGCAATAGAATGATCGTGTGTGTGTGTGTGTGTGTGTGTGTGTGTGAGAGAGAGAGAGAGAGAGAGAGAGAGAGAGAGAGAGACAGAGACAGAGACAGAGACAGACAGAGAGATGAAGTAAGAGGCATTTGGGAGACATTTTCTTTCTTTTTTAATTTTTTAAAATTTTTTAAGTTGATTTTTTCTTTTTCTAAATTTTTGAAAAAAGTACTAATTGGTACAGAGTCTTGCTATGCAACTCAGACTCATAGTGATCCTCCTGTCTCAGCTTCCCCAGTGCTGGATTATAGGCATGAACCACCACACTCAGTTTTGATGGCTGGTTCAGCACAGGGCTAGCACAGCATGTGGTACCAGGGATTGAACCTGGGTCCTTGCACTTGCCAGGCAGGCACTTAAACCTCAGAGCTTTCTCCCCAGCCCTGAGGACATATTTTCATAAGTCTGACTAAAAAGTATACCAGGGCCGAGGAGATAGCTCAGTAGAATAAGTGATTGCCTGGCAAGCAAGTGCAGGGTCCTGAGTTCAATCCCTGGTACCACAAAAAAATAAATAAATAAAAAGCATACCAAAAATTAAAACAAAAGGGCCAACCAGATAGCTCAGTGGACTAAAGTACTTGCTTAGGCAGAGTGATCCCCAGTGTGCCGTGCTGGTCCCAGCCCCAAGGCATACTGAGACAGTGATTGAGACTGGGTGCAGCAGTGGTCTGTAATCCCAGCACTTGGGAGGCTGAAAACAGGAGAATCACTATGAGTCCAATCTACGTAGTGAGACCCTGTAGACCCTGTACTAAATACCTAAAAGAAAAAAAAAATAAAATACAATTTTGAGAATTGTAATGCCTTTTCATGTCATTATCAAGTAATATTCAACGGACTTCTTTCCATTACCTACTCTACTCCCATTTCTCCAAGCAAAAATAAGCGTCTCTCATTTTTCAAAGCTGACCCTTTAAGCTAATGAGGCAAGGCCAGCAGCTCTCACCAGAAGCCTGCTCAGAGGCTGAGCACAAGTCCCAGATGCCCTTCCTGTGGAGAATGTTATACTCCACTTCTGGGGCTCTTGAATAACACTCAGGTTTTTGTGGACCCTTGAATTTTTGGCATCTCCTTTTAGTTCTAATGGGGTTCTTCAGCCCCAGCTTCCCCCATTCCTGCAGCACAGGCTCTACCAAGGTGGGGAAAGGGTTGGGAATTTGTGAAGGAGGCTTCTGTGGAGAACGGTGGAGATATTCTGACAATACACGAGATCATCAAAGGGGCTGATTTGGGCAATGGAAGAAAGAGCCTCAGGGGTGGATAACCAACCTGCAAGATGGGAAGAGCTAGGGCCGGGGAGATGGCTCAGTGGAATAAGCACTTGCCTGGCAAGCGCAAGGGCCTGAGTTCAATCCCCGGTTCCGAAAAAAAAATAAAATAAATTAAGATGGGAAGAGCTCTCTGCTGCACAAACCATAAACAGTTTTGGAACTAACTAAAGGAAATTCCCCTCATACACCTAATCAAGACCAAGAAAAGGTTCTAGACTCAGGCAGAAAGAAGCAAAAGAGTCAAAGGACTGTTAGGAAGCTAAGAAACTATAATAGAGAGAAAGGGATGTATGTAGGGGTGTATGTATCTATGTGTACAACGCTATATACATTTATAATATTTTGTTACATGTAACATGCTTATATATTAGAATAATAGTGTTTTACAGAATTTACTTTTACATAATATCTCATTTGATTATCATGTATAATTGCATAATTACACATGTAAGTTTATATGGACATATTTATGTAACACAAATAGATTAAATCTATTTGTTAAGGGTGTTTGCTCTAAAATCAGTCTGCCTAAGATCAAATTCTAGCTCTTCCACTTAGTATTCCTGTGACTTTAAGAAAATTAACTTATTTAAATCTCATTTCCTTATCTGGAAAATGGAGATAATTGTATTACAAATATCACAGATTATATTCAGTGGGCTCTTTTATGGAAAGTGCGAGATATCATGTTTGACACATAAATGCTGGTTGTCTTATTTCATCTAAATAAAATTTCATCTTATTTCATCTAATAGCATGAATATTTTTCCACGGCAAAAATGTTTAAGCATATTATCAAAATATGCTTGCAAAATGAAGAGGCAGGGCCAGGGAGAGAGCTCAGTGGTCTAAGTGCCTGATTGGCAAGCCCGTGGACCCGGATTCGATCCCCAGTACTGCATGCCATGCTGGCCCAACCCCAGGCTTGCCGAGCTGGCCACCAAGATTGGGCACGGTGGTGCACATCCATAGACCCAGCCCTGCAGAGGCTAGAAACAGAAGGGTCACTACAATTCCGACCTGTGTAGTTAGACCCTGTACCAGTACAGAAAATTTAAAAAGAAAAAAAAAATGAAGAGGCAAAATATCATGATGACATTATGTGTTACATGATATTCAGGCATTTTTTCATGACAACAAAGGGGAAAACCCAAATGACAACGTGTGGTTCCTAAGTATGAGACTTTAGTTGCAGCTGTTTTTGGAGTTGGTGCTGGATAAACAACACCAAGACCACACTGTTAGTCTGAAGATGCAAAAGGATCCTTGCTACAATGAACACAGGCAAAACACTTTAAAAGACAAAGAAACAAGAGTCACATAGCACAATGAAAAGTTTGAAGTCTGAAGGAATGAATGTGTAAAAGGGTGTGTTGTATCCTCACATCCTGCCTCATAAGACAGAAGCACCTGAAACATCATTATCATGCTTTGTTCTTCAACAGTCTGATGTGTGTGTCTACTCAACACTGGCCACGTGATTCCTCTTCGCTGGCTCATGGACACACCCCTTTCATATCTGCTACCTTTAAAACAGTAAAAGATTTTGAAGAAGCAACTGGTAGAAACAAGAAAGGATGCTAATACCCAAAATTAATGTTATGAACGACTACCAGTAGCTTCTGTTACACCACCACGTGCTTAAGAAACCATTCCCGTGTGTTTGCAGACTTCCGCTACACCTGCGCCTGCGCATCCTTTGTGGGGCCTCACCTTGGCAATGGCGTGAGGGGAAGCACCCTTCTCCAGTAACAGCAGCGCCACCTTCTGGTTGTCATAGTGAGCAGCAACATGGAGCGGGGTAAGGCCATTCTGTAAAGGGTGTGTTTCAGTTTCAGCATTAATAAATTAGCTTTAGCTGCTCTGAAGCTACCAGGATGCATGGAAATTGTGCTGATTTAGTTTGTGTTAATAATTAATGTTGTCAATAGAAAAGAAGGAGTCAAAACAAATGCACAATAATTTTCATGGTAGAAACAGAACTAAAATCGAAAATGATTGAGTTTATAGTAGGCAAAGTGTATCTTGATGATCACAACAAAGAAAGGTGTAAGATGCTATGTAAGAAACACTACATTGACACCACAGGGATTCTTCTTAATATAGAGAAGTTGGGGGCCCTGCCATGACAAGAACATACATTTGGGGCACAGCTCAAAATTATTTCTAAATACATGTACATGTGGAAAACCATAAACAATTATCTCCATCATGTCTATCTGACATCATTTAATCAACTTTACTCATATAAGAAAAACATTTTCACAGATCTCTCGACTGGTCAACTCCACTAACTATATAATTAAAACCGAAACACGGAATTGAAAATCTGTACCTTCCCAGCAGAGTCTGCGGCAGCACGGCGTTGCAAGAGAAGTTTTGCCACGTCCAGGCTTCCATACTTGGCTGCTACATGAAGAGGGGTAAAACCCTTCTGAAAAGATGAAAAAAGAGAATATCTAGTATTTATTTTTCCACTTCCTAACAAATTCTTTATTTGTTAACATGTTAAGTGAACTTTGCTGATTTTCTACTTGAGAAAAATACTGGTAGTTTGAAATCTGTTAGCCATAAACAAAGCAAGGATAAAAAATGAAATTTAACATTCAAAAGTTTGGCTTGATAGACTGGACAACAGAAATTTTATTTTAACATCTTGGACACTGAAATTCAACTACATAAGTCTGGGATTTGTAATAATCACTAGTGTCAGGAAATGGGCTCTGATTTGAAAGTGGGACAAAAAGGCCTGTCTTTTTTTTTTTTTTTTTTTTTTT